GAATTTCACTACAGCGTTCAAAAGCAACTGTAGTACACGACCTCAGGTATAAGCAGTGAACACTAGCAGGATATGATATGACAACAGAGCCTTATACTGATAACAGTGCATGTAACATCTAATAACCTTTGTTCTAGTTCAGGACATTACAAATGATGTAATGTGATTAGCATGTTATAACTTGTTTGTTGAATCCGTACAAAAAGAAAAATAACAATTTGTGGATTTACGTGGTGTTATCTGCCTATATGTAATATGTAAACGTCTCAACTTCTTCAAGTCTCTGCGGGGTGCCTGGCAACCTCATGGTGGTGAAAAGACAGGTGCCATCTTCATTCTGAATGGACGGATTTATGGAGCGTTATTGCTTTTCTTGTCTAACGCTTGGCATGAGCATATTTCCCAAAATATTCCACTTAAATAGTTTCTTAAAATTGCCTCTTTTGTTTGTTTGTTTTTATTGTTTTTGAAGACCTAAATATATTCAATTAAAAGTGGAATTAAACAGAAAAAAAGTAGGCTATCTAATCCTCACATTTGAGAAGCTAGAACCAGTTTGGAATTCTTTAAGCCTTAAAAGATGAGTCTATTATCTAATTCATCTCTTGACTAATCAATGTGAAACTGTGGAAGGTCAGGGAGGAATTACATGTGGCAAGGAGGCTGGCAGTAAAGTAGTCTACGGATCTGGAAAATGGGATGTTATGGGTCAGCAATGCATTTTTTAGTGACCTCAGACAAAGACACCAGCTGCTGAATCTCATTAGTTTCCGTTATGTAGCTTAGTGAGCTCCTCATAGACAAAAACGCCACAGCCAATTATGCTAATTAAATGCTAACTGAAATCTATGAGATCTACTCTCTCGTACGCAAAAGCCTCCCATCTATCTCTGTTAGCCAACTAGCAGAGGATTACAAGAATCAGCACAAACGCGTCAGAATTAAAGGATTGTAGAAACAATGTGGGGATTTAAAGCATTTATATTTACTCATTAGTGGGTGGACAGGAATTAGGTCAGTGAAACTGAACAGGAACTGAGCTAGGTGGAATTTCACTTTACTTTTAAATAAGAAACGGCAACAAATGAATTACCTCTCTACTGATTACCTTCCTTTTATACAAACCACTTTGTATTAATTATATTACATCTTTTTGACAATAAGAGCCAGGAATCTAGACTCAGGGCTAGTCCATGTGGTGCAGTTTCTGTTCTGTTAACAACACATCCACAATAAATAAATAAGACACTAATGAGCAGTTTAGTCACTCCATCAATTATTCACAAGCCACATTAACTCTAGCTCCATGAACAAAGAGAGAGAGACTGATTGGCCTTTACATCCACCAGCTTCACCGACATCTTTAAATAAAGCTCTTCAGTAACTTCTCAGATGTACCACTTAAGTCTCAACTTCTCAACTGAAGCTTCACATTGGCCACTAGTACATGCAGGGCACTAAATGTATGCATACGTATAAATAAGTCAGGCTGTTTGAGGCTTTGTGAGGCTAAAATCTACATGGCCTTTTAATTCTCTAAGACTAAGAAATTAACTAAAGTCCCTTTCTTTCAGGAAAGAACTTTATCGAATTGATCAAACTTTCTGCTAGGGCCATCGTTCAGATTTGACATATTTAATAAGATTTTCTAAAGCTGGGGGAACCACACAAAAGAATGGAGAATACACAACAACTCCTCATCTAACAAACGTGATTATGGCCAATCAGTGTGTCCATTTATAATTGAGGACATTAGTGTTAAGTTGATAGCAATGAACTAACTGAATAATGAAGACAGACAGTACACTTGAACTTGTTTACAGAAAAAAGATTCCCAAAACAATAAACAGGCGTCAGACTGTTTGTGGATTCATTGTGACACAGAAAACTCAGGTTATTTCCTCTCAGGCACAAACAAACGCTGAGGGGACTCCTTTTTCAGATTCTTACGTCTGACTATGCTAGTGTGACCTCTGACTGTCATATGACTGAGCATGGTTGCTTTGGTTTGTCTGGACGTGGAACCAACATAACATCTCACACAGAACAGAGACACCATTAATGCTGTTCTGTCTTCCTATATATCTATACACACAAAAGTCTTATAGTAAGCCCATGAGCAGATGTGATTCCTGCCAAACACGTTCACAAGTAAACACTGAATTTGACATTAAACTCTAATCCCTTCCCAGACTTCAAAGCTCAGTTAAGAGCGCACGAAGCATGCACAGTTAAACTTTGACAGAGAGGAATGTTTTGAAGCATAATCCACAAAGGTTTTATGAGGTTACATTTCATCACAGGACCAGGAGGGTGTAGCTAGCATGGCCAACCAACATATTCAGTGCAAAAGCTAGCATGTAAAGAAAGCTGATGTGTGGTTAAAGAATGCAATCATCACATTTGAGAGATCGCTAACAAATTCTGTCCTTTTCCGGTGAATTTAGCTATAGTGATTTCTGTACAAAGGGCCCTTCGCTGCAGCATTCTTTGCCGGGTGCTCGGTTCATTGGCTCTGAGGAAATCAGCATCATCTGACATTCACAGCGGCATCATTTGCTAGAGTTCACACTGTTTGAAGCCATGTGCAGATAATGTCTGTCAGCGTTGACTACCCGTGTTCCTGTTCATCCAGCTTTGGGCTAATTCCGCACTGTATGCTAGCAGAATGCCTCTGCTGCAGGAGTTAATGCTGTCAAGCATCAAGCAGCTCCAATAAATTGCCGGTAGTTTTGTCAGCCAGTCTGTAACACACTGTATTGTGAGAACTAATTTCTAGTGTAAAGCTGCTTAGCAGGGATTTGTCTATACAGTTTCACATTTCTACTTCCACTGTGAACTGTCAGTGTGTTTGTGTGTGTGTGTGTGTGTGTGTGTGTGTGTGCTTGAGGTATTCGCTGTCCTATAATGAACAGGGGAGAGACCCTCGGTCAGTGTGCAACATCACACACACAAAACAGTTTCTAAAACTATTTATCAGCTTTGAATTCATCAAACAATCAGCATCTACCAAAAGTCACACCAAAGAGATCCCTGCAGTCTAAATTATTCCATCTACAACAAACAAAATATTCCTAAAAAGCAGGGACGCTGCCTGAGCAACAGCCCACTTTTACAATCAAATTGATATTATATCTGCAATAATATGTTAACTTACACACAGTGTGCAGCTTTTTAAATTTCTGGTTAATTCTAGCCCTGTGCATGTCCCTGCTAAACAGCAAAAGCAGAAAAGCAAATGTAAGACCTATTTTCACAAACTATTATCACAGCAATTAACAGCAGTTGATGATCCACCAGAGAGAGTATGTGGAGAAGAAAACATTTAACAGAGCCCTTTAATTAGGTCTGAAGCGTCTCCCAAAGTAGTTATCAAAAAGGAGGCCTTGCTGGGTGACATTTCCAACCACTCAATCAGAGAAGCCAGCTGGGAGCTCTGGGGCTGCTGGAGAAAATGACTGGGTGAAGACACAAGCTAAAAGACGGGAGGCTGGGACACATGCCGGGGAATAGTCTTCCACACTCACAACTTTTGCCTTGTCCTAACAATTTTAAAAATGTATAACCATCAGCCAGTATAAACTACAGCAAGTATTAGTGTGTTGTATAAGACAAAGTAAATTATCTATACTACTGTGGCCCTTCTATAAGCCCTGTATGTTTGCTGACTTGCCAAGAGTTAGATGAGAAGATTGATACCACTCTGATGCTTGTAAATTAAGTATGAAGATAGGCAGGGGGTGATTAGATTAGGTTAGCATTATGCTGGTTTAACATGCTGGTGTAAAAAGGGGGCAGATTGTCTAGAAGAAGATCTGGCGAAAGAAGAAAGTACTACTACAGACCAACAACCACACCAGAGATTTTTTTGCATGGACCAAAAACGATGTGGAACTGAAAGTAACACAGGAGTACAAAGAGGCTGTGGTGACGGGAAACAGACTGGAAGTCGTCGCAAAGTAATTACGGCGACTTGCACTGTACAAATGTTCAAGGGCTATTTGCACAGTACAAAATATCAAAACTAAAACACTGTCAGTAGCATCATGTTTTTGTTTTGCAAGACCTAATCAGAAGGCCAAATGTGAGTGTCTGTGTCATCGTTTTCAAACTTCTCAATTTCAGGTCTATGGATTCATCTTTTTAGTCTGGACAAGGAAGTGCAAACTTACTCACTACGTAGTAGTGCAGATATAGCCTCAGAGGGCTGGTAGGCACATATTGGAACTTTGGAGGGAGGCAGGCTAGTTGCTTCCCCCTGTTTCCAGTCTTTATGCTAAGCTAAGCTAATTGCCTCCTGGCTCCAGCTCTATACTTAGTGTACAGATATGAGAGTGGTATCAATCTTTTCATCTTACGTTCACACAGAAAGTAAGAAACCCACGCAACAGTTGCATTGCAGGCATGAAGATTAACACAACACACACCCATGCGTTATGACAGTTTCAACCACAGCCCTATCTGACACTGGTTGTACTTGAAATAATCAGAGAGTGCCCACTCTAAACTTAATGTTATCTCTGTTGCCCTCTTTTACTGTAACTAGCTAATGTAACCAACTGTGAAGGATAAATATTTAAAAAGAACATAATGCTGTTATTGTGGTTAGGCCTGGTATAATCTCTGTACGACCATATATTTCCTTTCATAAATACCTTGTTATTGACTGACTGGTTCCTTTCCAGAAACACTGGAGTTTCCCAGCCTGCACTCTGTGAGTGGTTTAAGGTACTAACAAAACTAAAACAATCCAAACAATGTTTCAAACCTAGTTACTCCCCAAACAAATCCATTAGTGTGACCAAAATACTCATTTTAAACATAGCAAGCATATCATTTGTTTTTTAAAACTCTAGTAACTTCACATCAAAAACATTAAGTAAATATTGCCACAGTAAGAAAAATTTTTCCAGACATAATTTGCCAAAGTTAAGTTATAATTTCTCTGTAAGCATGTGATGATGAAATACAATAACTACAGCAGAAATACAATTACTCACCTCTGTTGTTGTGCAAGGGCTGTATTTACCTGCAGGGAAACAAGAAAGCAGTATTGAGATAAGCAGCAAATGTAAGCCTAAGCATAAAGTAGCTTACAAACACACGTGCATGGCTACATACATAACACTGTTCAGTTACAGCGCAAAAATGCAGTATATTCAACTGAGCGGTCATTGAGCACATGTGATGATGCTCTTAAGGACACGCATTACTTTTGGTTCAGCGTCTTAATATCATGGGAAAATGTAAATTGTCTCTGGATCCACTGCAATCACTGGGCAGAAGCTGCGTTAAGGCAAAGCACATCCATATTGAGCCTAAATTATAGGGACAGCAGCTGAGCAACGGAGATGACTCATGTCATATGTATATTGTCACTGATGGAAAATCAGGAAATTGTGAATCTATATAAACAGAAAAGAGTGAGAACTTCTTTCATTGAGAATGCTATCATTAAACTCTCAAGTTCACAGTGTAGCTTTAGAGGATAAGGCTAGTCGCATTTCATATTTTTCGTTTTGCCAACAAATCCCATGAAAAGACCAAAACCAACAATACATTAGTCAGCTTCACAATACTTTCTGATTTTTGTATGTTGTGTGTGGTCCCCAGTCTATTAGGACTCAAAACGTAAAGCTTTAAGATTTTTTTTATTTCCTAAAACAGCTGGCATTAAACTCACTGTAGTTCTTAGCAGTTATTACTCAAACAGGAGGAAATAGTGAACTTGTTGGGGACTATTTTCAGCTGAGGATTGACACTAGGACTGAGCGATTAATTGCATTTGCAATAATATTGCAATATGATAAAACAAGATTTTCTAATTGCAAAGGCTGCGATAACACACTAGTCACATGACACGCGAGAGTAAAGCAGTCTGCAGAGGAAGCATCAACCTCAAGCGCAAGTAGGTAAGCCAAAAAAGCATAGGTCCAAAATTTACGTCAAAATCCTGTGACATCCCGTCGCACATGAGAGATTGTAACCGTATTGCTTAGATTATAAGCTCTCTTTTATATAATATTATAAAAATATTATTTTATACTTCTTTTCCACTATTGCTCATAATAATAATTCATGCAATTCATGCCTCACCTAATTTCATCATAACACAGACCCGGCCTACAGGAAAGAACAGTGTATGTTTAATATTTCTAATATTGTGTTGGTCACACTATACAATTATTTATTGCTTATCTGTTATGAATAACACAGGCGATAAGGAGCTTAAAAATAATCATAAAGTGGAATTTTAAATGTAGGGATTTATATCATCTTTTGCTATTCTACAGTTGTTCTGTGGTGTAGCACCTCTTGTATAGCTTATTTATCAGTGATTACATATTTTCTTCCTAATTAAACAAATTTCAGCGAATGTGCCCTGTGCTCTAATTATCATTATACAAACTAGACCAGTGTTAATAAAAGCTCTGTTTCATTCCTAATTACTTTAGTGGTTTAAGCAGCATGTGACAGATGATGACAAAACTCCATTCCAAGAAGCCGTGTTGCATGAATGTACTCCCTTCAAAAAGAAGACAACCTTTAATGTTTCTCCAGGCTACATCTGCCCAGCTTTTACTTCAGCCTGCTAACAGATGACCCTCTTAACAAACGGCTGTTTTGTGTTATAACACCGTAAACACGCAGCAATGCAACATCACAACAGCTCTGACATCTTCTCATGACGTTAACTTGCATCAGCAGGTTTGAATTCCTCTTCCAGAGTAATCAGTGTGATGTATGTGTTCACATGTACTGCAAACATTGTGAGCAAATAATTAAATAACACTTGGGGAGGGTACCAGCATGAAATTAAATCTATTTATCAAAGTCTAGACATGACACCAAAATAAGTGTCCAGCTTTCATCATGTATTCAGATATAATACAAAGTGTCATCTGACCTAGATAAACTGCTGAATAAGAGAATATTATGTGAACACAGTGTTGAGTGACAACAGGATCTAAAGCTAAGCATGTCAGTTTAACAGATGAGAGCTTCAGAAGCCCTAAATCCTTAAAACTTTTGCCACAGATTTATTTCATTACATGAATGAGTTTCTCTGACTGAGCTGGAGCATCAGGGAGAGACAGCCTGTACAGAGCACATATAAGTGGCAATTAGATTAGCAAATTACCCTGAAAACTGAAACCATTTGTGTGGTTACAACGATCAAAACACATGCAAAACACTCCCAAAATTTCTAAGAAGTGCCTTAAGACATGCAGAGCGGTGATTCCCAACCAGGGTTGCTTCTGCAATTGTCTGGAGGTTGATGGAAAGATTGTGAGGTAACTCTATTTTGAAAAAATAGAAATAACTACTTCATTAAAAAAAATATGTCAAAATATCGAATCATCTGTACACTGGACATTACGTGTTGTAAATTAGCAAGAAAGCAGAAATAGCTAAACGTAATGAATAAGCAATTTAAATAGTTAAAATTAATGGATAAAGGATTAAAATAGTTCAAAATAAAGGATAAAAGGTTGATAAAATCAGCTAAAGGTGTTGGATAAGCAGTAAAAAAGCTAAATGTAATGGAAAACAGTTCAAATTGTTAGCCAAAAGTATTGGATAAATAGTTGAAACTTCCAGCTTCTGCCACAAGTAGCCGTAGAATAACGTGAACAAACTGACCCTAAACTCAGCCAGTTAAATTGTATGTAACACTTTTCATTTTTATCAGTCGAGCTAAACAACATCTAGTTTAAAATCAATTCAAATGAACATATTTGGAAAATGACATCTGCTAACTGGTGTACAGAATATTAGAGGCCTCAGAATAGTAATAAGAAGCAGCTCTAACTGCATAATCCATGTTTCAGTTGTCTTTCTATATCAATATCCTATTGGTATGGTAATATGGTATATCTGCCCCCTTTGCCATTGATAATGCACCTTTTCTGTGTACCTCACGAAAAGTGGGAATAATCTTTTGTACATTCGCTGTATGATCCGAAGGAAACGGTGAGACTGAACATACTGAAGCAATATTAACAAAGATAAGAAATGACAACTATATTACAACTATAAATGCCCCAAAACATGCTGAACAATTCAATACATTCTTATTATATTTTGCATGATGTAACATTAAATGAGCAACCAAGGAACAAAAGCCTGGCCTCCCCTCTCCAATGGTTCCTTCCATGCTCCTAAAAATAGCCCATTCATTCTAAGCATATAGACCTACAGGCCACAACCAGCTTCATCATCACAGCTGTGCCTCTCAGATGTGCACATAAAAGTTGATTAGACAAAGCATGCGGTGCATTTATTGAATCGAAAGCCATGACATTGACTCGGCAGTGATTTGTATTGTGTACACTAGCCGAGTTAAAAGCACATCCCTCAGGTACAGTCCATTACAGATAGATAGTTTGCTGCTCTGCACTCTGCGTTTAGTGTGGAAAATGTGATTACAGCGTACGATGAACACGCCAGGCCTCGGTCTGACAAGACACTGTAATGTGTTTGGTTTAAGTGCATGCTGTCGATCACAGACACACCTATCGACTGTAGCAACACACACATCACATGGCATGCAGTGTCATCTGTTGTTTTTAGGTTTGAATCCCTGTTGATGCCTTATTAAAAAGATCTGTAGTAACTCGGATACTACATAAAAGTCCCAGAGACACTGGAAACTCACTCCCACATGAGACACAAATTACCACAAAGTACAATAAAGTCACAATTAAAGCTCTGCATAGCCCCACAGACACATTGTAAATCCCTAACGGGATATTTCCAGAATATTGCAGTGATCTTTCATTTGGCAAACTTTGCTGCCACCACTGTCTCTTCTCCCTGTCTTGGGTATTTTTAACGCTGTTGTACCAGCAGAGCTCAAACTTACCTCATTAATTATAGATGTAATTAACAGAGGTTCCCATGGCCCAGGTAGTTAGGAACAGCTGAATCAGGCCATAAAGATGGGCTTCAAACATAGAAAGTATGTGCAGGGATGAACCATCATTCCATGTCTGTTTTCTATTCACACACATATAGGCATCAGCCCACAACTCGATCCTATCACTGCCCAATGCAGATTCAGATTGTAATCCCACTCTTTAATCAGATGAAGCAAATGAACACACTGATCTGATGTGAGGTGGGAAACAAGCTGAGGGGCTTTTAATGAGAGAAGAAACCACATGGTGTGCACGTCCATGTTTTCAGTGAGGAGGATGGATGAAAATAAGTGAAAACCATGAGGAAAAACAAGAGTGAGGGCAGCAGGGGTCTTAACCCTGGCTGTTGTTGTCCTGGTTACAGAGTAGTCTAATCCAGAGGTGCAAATAGGCTAAAGCACCTGATGAAAAACACCAGAAATCCTCCACATGTGCATCTGAAAATATGTAGGCTTTGCCTAGGCTACACATTTTATAGGCTGTAGTGATATTATGGCTCTGTGGGATTCCTAATGTGTTCCTGTTGGGGATTATAGGCTACACAAGTGCTTTTTGTAGCCTACCTTGCCCTCCTAGAATGTAGGCCCGTTTAAGTTTTTCTCCATCACAACACCTCAGCCCCATTAGTTGAAATGCAAGTGATGGCCTGGCCTAGATCGGAGAAGCTATAGGCGCACTCGTTCAATAATAATATTTTACCTTCACAGCCCTGGTGCTCCACCCTCACAGACCCGTCTTTCTGTATCCTAACATCCCCAGGTCCAGATATCTTCCTCGGAGCCGCCGCTGATGATGCTCCGGCGGCGGAGGCGGAGGAGCTTCTCCTGCTCCGGTGTCTCTTCGCCAGCGTCATGCAGCACTGGTAACACACCGCCCAAGCCTGCTCCTCATTGATGGGCTGGCTGTAAAGCCTCAGTATCTCCTCCAAAGAGAGACACTCTCCTCCTGCTTCCTCCGTTGAATTCATCGTGTTGTGATGCCGCTGCTCATCCCGGCGAGTCGCTGCAGCAGCATCCGTCAGCCCTCCGTGGTCCCCGCATCGCTGCTCGGCCATCCTTTCATTATCTCAGCGCAGGAGGCCCGATGGTGAGAACAGATCCAGGCCGATATGTGAGAGGGAACTTGGAGGCATTGATGCTCCCCTTCTGCTCCCCAGAGCAGCAGGAGCAGCAGCACACCGGTGGTTGTTTCCCCGCCCGCCCGACGACTAGTTCAGGTCTCGGTACCAGCGGCCATAAGACGGTGTGTGGGGGTTTGTGTGATTATAGCCCTTCACTGTGTGTTCAGCAAGCCGGGCTCACTCTTTTGTCACATGATCTCTCTCTCTCTCTCTCTCACACACACACACACACACACACACACACACACACGCCTGCTTCTATTTTCGGGCTTTTGAGAGATGGAGGCTAGCGATAGTTAATTCAGATATTCACATATGTTCCACTGGAGTCAGCGCTGGATTAGCAACCAGTCAAAGCAGGTAATTCACCTAGACCCCAGAACCCCAGGGGCCCAAAGTCCTCAGATTGTTTTCATTTGTTTCAACTTGTTCGATTAATCACACATTTTGTAGGAGGTGGTTGGCCTATAAGTGGACATTGTGCTCACTTGGTGCATATTCCTAAATAAATGAGTGTTTAATTAAATTATCACTCTCTCACACACACACACTGATTGACAGGCAGAAAACTTGTATGTAATATTCCAGTAAAGTAGGCCAAAGTTTTTGATTATAAAATCATTGTACAGGTGTTTTTAATTCATTGGCCTATACAAATCTTCTTTGTCCATTTTTGTAGTTAGTAATTAGTAGCTGGTACTCTTTGTTAATGTGTTGTTTGTATAGCCTATGTATTCTGTTATTCTTTTGTAAATGTTCAAATATTTAAATACACCCACACAGGTGCCCACAAATGGGCTTGAGTGACATCTTTCTCATTGTCTAGTTGTTAAAGCAGGACAAGTTACAGTTTTATCACTCTTGAGATTGGTGACATAATTCTGATCTGATCAAGTTAACTGAAAACCCCTGTGCATGAATGCAGAGCCTTTTACAAAATTCTTCAAGGCATTCATATTAATTCTGCATTGCTAGTTTTGACTTATTTTTGCCACATGATATTACTCTCTTTATCTATTTACAATTTTTCCTGTTGTAGTTTCTTTGGTAGTTGTTTCCTTCTTGGACACTTCATTCATGCGGTACATTGTATTTTACTATTTTGCCAGTAGCTATGTATATTTAACAGTTAAAAGTTACTTTTTAGATTCAGATTTTATGCACAAAACATGTGATCAGTTTGTAAAATATGAAGCACTGTTGGAGATTAAACTACCCAACAGAATCCAACGTAGGTTAAAATCGAGGGAAACTGGATCAAGAGACGTCTTCAGTTCTGAATGACTGGAAGGGAATCCCAGCTCTTTAACCTCTGAGGGGTTGTTGTCAAGATGATCGATACTGCTTGGTTCGTTAGTGCTCCTGTTGTGAGGACATTATGGTCGTTGCCAAGTCTGAGCAAAGTTGGTGCGTACAATAATACATACATTATACTTACATTGTTGTGTAATATGCCAGTCCTAGTCAGTCAGAGAACTGAAGAAGCCTCTCGGATGAGAGGTGAAAGGTCATCAAGTATCTTCAACCAAGTCCAGTTGCCCTTGATTTTGACCTACCTTGGATAGTATTGAGAAGTTTAATTTCCAACAATGGTTCATACTTTACCCTGCGATGGATTGGTGACCTGTCCGGGGTGTACCCCGCCTGTCGCCCGATGTAAGCTGGCATTGGCTCCAGCCCCTTGCGACCCTGTATGCAGGATAAGCCCTTGACGATGGATGGATGGTTCATACTTTACAAACTGATCCCATTTTAGTTGTAAAATCTGAATAAGTAACTTTGTTAAATACATTGCTGGCAAAATGGTAAAATACTATGCAACACATACATTAAGGAATATATATATGCTATCTGCTGGTCCCCTTCTGCTTATATTTGTTTGGTTCCCTCTGCTGGCTGTTGGTATTTCCAGCTGTCCTCCATGTTGGAGCTATGTTTCCAAATGGTTTCTGCTTAAAATGTATTTTCTTTGAAATTGCCTGTGGTTCTGCATATGACCATGAGTTATCACAAGGCTTCACAGGGAATCTCTCTCTTTCCTGCCCAGAGACACTTCCTCTTTCTCATTTCGCTCACATGCAAGTCACTGTATAACGCCCACACCATTTTCATAAAGTATACTGAATTATGTTCAATTTAAATTAAATGCAAGAAGAAATGATATAAATACAGTGGTTATCTATTAATTTATTCACAAATTCACACGCATTTCATTTGGTTTGTTCACAATCATATTTATTTAATCCACGGCTTACACAGTACTCAGAGATATAGATCTCTTCTGACAGCAAATATACACAACATGAGACAACAGCACACACTCATTGAACATCTTTGTTACACAATGCAATGGGGACCCCACAATCTCCAAAACACATACCTGATTTGATTGCCATTGGTACAGTGATAACATTGCCCATTTGTTAAAACAAATATCTGGACACCAACACAGAAGATGTAGCTATCAATACACACCACGCACATGTGGAATGATACAGTAAATATACAACTCTCCAGATTGATTTCTTTATCCATTTCACATCAAAAAAGCTAATTATCTTTGCAGCTTGAGAAGAAAAATATAGTGTAAACAAAAACAATATTTAAAAGTCTTCTTTGTCCCTTGCTTGTAAAAGTGGTAGAAGCTTGCTGATGAGCCTTTTCACCACAAGGAATGAACATGCAGCGTTGTCATTCAAGCAGCTGAAGGGGAGAGGCAGCGGTGGGGAGACAGACAGTGGGGAGGAGGGGGAGGTTTGTGCCATGGGAAACCTAACTTAATCAACACTCAACATAAAGACAAAGTGTTAAACTTTAAAGTCAAACAGGTTGCAGTCGACCTTGTAGTAGACATAGGGATAATACTCCTGCTGGCTCAGGTTTAGGCCTGGGATGTCCATCGCAGACTGAAAAAAAAGAGACAGTACAGGCCGTTAGTGAGCTTAAGCAGCAGTTGCCAACAATAAGAAAAGAGCACCACTTACATGACCGCTGAGAAAAACTAACCAGCATTTAGCATTTAAATCCCAGGTTTCCCAGCATTACCTTCAACTTCTTTGAAATTTAAACAAACAAACAAAAAAAAAAGTTTTGTTTTTAACTCCTTTTTCATGATTAGTTTCTTATCATTTACACAACACAACTTTACATAACATTGTTAAAAGGCTGAGATATCATTCAATACAGATTTATACCTCATTGAAAAAACAAATTATTTGGATATGTGACAAGTTCACACCATAGGCTGTATTTAAAGAGGTAGCAGTTGCAGTCAGTAGCTGTATTTGCTGTCTCTCTTTGCAGTAACCAGCTATGGCCATGAGAAGGCGCACGTTACACAAAGTGATGGAGGAGAAGCAGAGATTGCAGCAGTTGAGACTCCAACGGTATGACCCAAATCCATAGTACTGTCCATACTGATTACATACAGAATGTACTACATACTAATTGTCAAGAGTATGCTGTTTTTGCAGTTAGTATAAAAACAAAAGGAAAGGTAAATGTGCAGTGTCAACCAAACTGTGACTGTTGGGATGTCACTGGCAATTAAACTTCACAGAAAAAAAACAGAACAGATTTCTTTCCACAGCTGTAAGCAGCTGCATCGTGGGGGAATAGTGCCCATCGACTGCACACTCAAAAATGCAGTGTAAATACACCACAATGTCGAAACCTGCTTAGAATTAATGTGTGGTATGGATTTAGGACACGCAGCATGCTCTGTTGTTGAAATTAGTAGTTAATGTCTTCTCCTGCAATAGACTAACTTGTACCCTTTACATCTAAAATACTGTAACTGAATTATATGTAATGTTGCAAATGCCAAAACACATATTAATGCAATTTAGCAAGTAAACTTTTCTAAAAGACATACTTTGTTATATGATTCTTTTAAGTCATGGAGGGATTGTAATTTGTTATAATATGTTGTAATAAGTGTAATGTGATGTATTGCATTTCTCATTTTAGTTATGATTTAAATGCATACTGAGATAATATTTCATATCATAACTTCTGCCATGATAATCATATTAGAAAGTGTTATAGTTGCACATCTTGAAGCAAGATAGACATGTGCACTGTTTTTCTTGATGCTATGAACTTTTAGTTAGTATAGTAGTAAGAACTATCACACAGTACTACCAAAGTACTCACATCAATGATAGCCGCTGCACTACTGTCCAGATGTTTGTACAGGTCATTGAGCACCTCCCGCAGCTTCTTCATGGTCTTCTTGTTTGGCTGCAGGAGCATGGCTTGAAAGTTCACCGGCAGCCCATATCTGGAGGAACACAGTAGATAAATTAAGCTAGATTGAATTGAATTAAATATTCCTTGTCCATGTAAACCTGTTTGGGAATAAACTTGATTCTGATATTATGTATTTCTAATGACCGTACCTTAAAACAGATTCCACAAAGACCCTTAATGCTTTGATGTGGATCCATGCAATAAAGGCTTCACTGAAGTTCACTTTCAACCATCGGACAAGAGGGCCCTGTAGAGAAGTTAGATTAGGGTCAGAGCTATTTGTGACAGTTTTACTAATCTCAGCCAAGCAGGAGAAGAATGGATTTGTAACAGAGATAAAATCAAATTTGGCAGACAGGTCTTAAAAAAAGAAAGAGCTACATTTCTCTTTCTGTCCTCAAGAAGTCCATTTTACACCGGTGAAAGAAACATTTTTACTGCAGTGGATTTGTGCGTGGTCAACATTTTCAGATTGCTGCTGTGTGCACAGAACCGAGATGTCCAACTGCTTCAGGCTCTTTAATTGGTTGTTTTCTTGGGGGGAAAAAAATCATTCAACCAGAATTCAACAACAAAAAAACCCCTAAAACTTCAAGAAACTCTTAAAAGTACATTGTCCTAATGACAACAGTGCAATCTGTAGTAAATTTAACCACAAACTCCCATAGCATTTAAAACGATACTATTAAAAACGATCAAGTCTCAGGCGTTGGAGTGTTTGGTAATTTATCCATTACTATGTGACAATAAAGGGGTGAAATAAAAGCAACATTATCATAAAATAAAGTGACCTTACTGTAATGTATTAACTAACTACCTAGCACATTTAGTTGTGCAAGTTTATCTTAAGAATTAATCCAACGGCTGGTCTGGAAAACATAAAGTATGCTTGGCAATAATGAAATTTGAATAATTTGTTTAGTGGT